CTGTCAGCGGCTGAAGACGGGGCGGGGATCCCCGAAGTCTCTGGCCTGGGTCAGAGAGCGATTCCGGGGTCACATAACCGGGGACAAAGCAGAATACGGAGAACCTAGGAAGGGTGCGTGGATGGCGGGCAGTAAAAGGGGGCCGAGCGCTGCTGTGAGTGACAGACGAGGCCAAGGAAACAGGGTTAAAACAAAAAAAACCCCAAAACCAAAAACCCACCCCACAACAAAAATACAAATCCAAACCAGGATCTTTTGAAACTATTGCAAGCAGCCGAAAAGCATCAAGCAACTACCGACTTCTGGGTTTTTTTCTTCAAAAAATTTCCATGTGTACTGAACAGCAGAGAAAGAGTAAAGGAAAGCTGGAGGGGGAGCAGGGCAGGGGGAGAAAGAGGTAGATCCTCTTTGGAAACAAGCCCTGGGGAAAAGCTACCGCTTCCATGTAATAGTATAGTCTCTGTTGTGCTCAGTTATTTAAGCAGGTGATCAAAAATACAGAAAAGCAGCTTTATTTCTTGTTTCAAATATTACATGCACCTTCAAAAATTAAAACTCTTTTATTTAAACATCTCAATAGCATCTTGTCAGTTTGGAGGCAGCAAAGAATAACAGACATTTTGAAAAGCATTTACAAAAATACATTGCACAAAGTCCTATCTTGCTTATTTTTAAAAATAAGTTAGTGTTATTCAAAATATTCCCACCCCGGCAACCTAATTTCAATTTATACAGGATAATTCTAATTTTAAATATGCAACTTATAATGTGAAAACAGCTGTACACATGTAATCTAGCTCCTCTGCGTAGGCCATAGGTTCTGTCTCTAGCTCAAGTGAAAAAAGTTCTTCACACAGAGACTTTTGCTTTTTTAAACATTCGAGGACTGTTGTGCAACATACATAACTGTATCCAGAAAACCAGTCAGCAGTTCCATGTGTTAACAGTTCATGTGTAACTATAAAATGCATTACAACAGCAAGATAAAAATTCTGCGTACAAGTACGTTTCAGGAATCTCTTCTGAAAAAGGAACTTCAGAGTAGCAATCCTAAGGGGGGGCACTAAGCAGTTTCATCTCGTTCTATGTGGAAATGTTGCTTTTGAGAGCAAGACACCACTTTAATCTTCGTATACCCGACTAAGGTTTCTGGGGATGATCTAAACACCGCCCGTGTATTTCAATACGGCAGTGCTGAGAAGAAGTCCCTCTTGTAAACGTGAAGTAGCAAGGTTTACTGCAGTCTTGTTTTCCACACACTGCATTCTCACAGCACAATGTTAGTACTGAGTATAACAATGAACCAGCCTAAGGAATTACTGTCCCAAAAAGAGATCACTTTGACAAATTAAGATTAATTGCTGTATACTAATGTTTACTAAGCAATTTAGCAGGTTTATCAGCTCCCATCCAGTTAGTCAGTACATCAAGGTCGATTTGGAATTAACACTAAAGAACAAACTGGCCAAGTTGCTATGGTAAAAACCCTTAAAATACCTTCAGTTACTTACAGTTATCCCTGACTTTTAGAGCAATTCATGGCCACAGATTACAGTAAAGCATTCTCAGTCGCTGGTGTTTAAACTAGTTTTGGTTGCGTTAACTTTCCCTGACAGTAATATTTATTATACTCAACATGTATCAAAGAAGCCCTTTTGGATCCACCAAAAAGGTCAAAACCAAGGGTCAACTGAAGGACACCTTTAGCCACAGTCAGTGTTTAAAACATACCACAGTTTTTGGCTTATGATGCCAAGCTAACAGAAGTACGCAGTTAAGTCCCGGATTTAAAAAAAACAGATTCCTAGTTGCAGAAAGTGTGGTTTATTCTTTTAAAAAACCCTATACATTCATCTGTAATAAAATAGGTATCACCTGTTTGCCAACTGGGCTTTATGAACCAGAGTAGCTTGCATGCATTATTTCCTCTCAGCATGGACACAAAAATATAAAGCTAATTGGCAATTAGAAGCTGAGCATTAGAGCAAATAAAAGTTATTTTTTATACAGTTCTGCTGACAGTCTTCTGCCTTTATCAGAGGATCAATAGTTCTGCAGTATATATCTTGCATCCTCGTCCTTTAAAGATTCCAGTGTTCTAGGCTTTCCGGTATATACAAATTGAGAACAAAATGTACAACAACAAAACCAACGCAAGCTGTAGTGTAGATTATTCGGCAGGTTTCCCATGCACTCTGAACCGATAAAGGCATGTATATTCTGCATGTCCCCAGTTAGAAAAAATTCTCAGTTCCACTATTTGGAATGCGTTTTCACTTTTCTCCTGGAGAAGGAAAAAGCAAACACACAAACCAGCGTTAGGTGCCACTGAAGTTGCTTCCTTAGATTCCTGCACCTACCAACTTTTATTCCGAAGTTATGCCTCGAGAACTTTCTGCCACTTTGAACAGAACCTTCCTTGCCTTAGAACTAGTTTTTTTGTGAAGGGAGTCAGAAGCATGAAGCAGACTCTCCATGTTTAGCATCTTCACGCTGTTTGTGTCCAGATGGCACAAACCTTTCCTCCCCTCTAATCTATTTAGACTGGAGGTTTTGAGGCAGGTAGGTAGATACTTTCTGCCTCAGTTTCTACAGTGCCCAGAGAATGAGGCCTTTTTCCTTTGCTGCTCATTGTGTACTACCATAGAAGATACGAGTATCTTTCTCCTGACACTTTAAATCTTATCATCCAGACTTACCATCACTGGAAACATCTGCAGTGGTTCTCCTCCTTGATCATAGACATACTGTCCTAGAAGCTTGCCGCCTTCTTGATATTCATCATCTAGACCCTAGAACAATAGGATAAAGATTTTTTCCTTCTCTCAAATTTGAAATCAAACCAAAACCAGAAGCATGCCTACATAACCGAGTATCAACAGACAGCACTCAGAAGTCTATCAAACCAGGATCAGAATGTTTCCCATGTAACTTAATGCTTGTTCAGGCACAGCTCTATTTGAGTTTCCTGCACTGCAAATAGTTGTGCTATGTTTATACGTTTTCATGGTCAAACCCCTTAATTTCCATGGCAAAACCACTATCACCATGTACAATATAAACTGCTCAGGACAAACAAGAATAAAAAAACCATCAAGGTTATAAACCAGACAGAAGTCAAGATTCAGATGCTTGCAGACAACTGCTTAAGCATTTAAAAGAACTAGAGAAAAAAATTCTCAGATTTTCAAATTCTCAACTACACTCTGATGTAGCCTGTGGTCTTCTCTTCTGCAATCATGCCTATGGAACTGTGGTGCTAGTTAAAATAAATTTTAAAAGGGGGGGGGGGAAGGAGTGGAAGAAGGTTGGAACAATTAAAGCATATGAAAGAACTATACTAAATTAAAAACCATCATTTCCCTCCAAAAGTGTTTACTACTGTGTAAAGCAAGAGAAAAGAAACAACTCCCCCAAAATTAGTTGTAACATTTCTAATTGCTAATCTCAAAGCTCATTAAAAAAATATAAGCAATTTTAAGAGCAATGACAAAACCAGTTTTTCTTCTTAGCTGTCCTCCCTTAAGTCATTGTTTTCCAAGATATGTAACACAAATATTCTTTATGCATACAAACATCAACTTAAGTTCAGAGACAGACTTACATATACTGAAAAGTTCCTAGGAGCACTGGTGATATTTCCTGTTGGTGAAAGTGTTTTCGGTATATGTTCCACTGTAAAAGCAGTTGGATAAATCTTCATTGAAAGCCGAACTACGAGATATCCCTGTGATCCCTTGAAAGCCCAGCAGTTTCCTGGATACATGTCCGGCTAGACAGGAGGAAGGGGGAGAGAACAGGATGGGACACACCACCATGAAAAAAAAAAACCCACAGCCACAAGCATTTGTAACGATTTTTTTGTAATAAAGACCTGTAATGAATTCTGAATTATTAGGGACAGTCTTAGATAGTAAGTGGCAGAATATGATCTATTTGGTAGAACTCTTCAGGAAGACAGCATGTCCACCTGAACTACCAGCAGTGTTTTGAAGACCCACCTTGAGACAACTACTCAACAGGATCCCTCCCAGTGCTCACACTTTGCAGAAGTCCAGTGTACCACCCAAGCCTCCTATAAGGGTCTTAATTTTGCTAGAGTAGGACTTAAGCAGTGCCCAGGAACTACCAGAAGAATCCCACTCTTGGGAACATAGTTCAAAGTACCTGTGCCCCCCAATATATTACAGACAGAAACATCCAGCAGCCAAGAAACAATCCGAACCACTCAACACAAAATAACATCGCTGAATTTGTTTACTCGGCCTTTACTTACCTGAATCACCACTCTGGGAGACTGAGAGAAGTACCACAGCGGAATTCCAAAGAGGCTAATCAATGCTGTTTTGGTCTCATATGTTTCAGAACAGCGAGTACTCAGAATACTGCCACCTCAAAAAAGATGTATCAGGTTAGCAGAAATAGTTACTCATTTCTTCCTGAAGACTTAAGGCAAAAGTTTTTTTGCCTTACAAAAAATTTTTTACAAATTTTACAAAGCTTAATATACTAGTTATTTTCCTCAGAAAAAACTATTAAAGATATTGTTAAAGTCTAATAAATTTTCTGGGGATACAATGCTTCTATCAAGTAGAATGTTATTTTAAGAATACATTAAAGGTTTTTCATTTAAGAGGGCTGAAAAAAATACACATTTATCCCTAGTGAGTTCAGTGGTGCATACACCCCACACAAACAGATCTGTCGTTCTCTATTATCCAGTTGTACACATGCTTAGAACTATTCTGTCCCTGTCCATGCATACCTAGGCCGATAAACCCTGTAAACAACACGCATAGATTGTGGTAGTCTGATGATCTGGCAACACACAAGAATGCTCTACTAACCTTTAGTCTTCATTTTAAGATTTTTAGTAAATTCTATAAATAACAGGAATAGTAAAAACAGTGTTTCCTCTACTATTTACCTCCAGATTCCAAGGCAAAATCCACCATCCCAGTCTTGTCTTGAGCATAGAGTTTCAGCGCATTATTTACGATAATCTGTGCTTGCTGCCGATGTACACATAGAAGAGGAGAATGGAAAGATTTTAATATCAATTGATAAAATAATTGATATATACAAATCTGAAGTTGCAACCATCTTTTTGAGATGCTGCACTCCACCACAAGTCTTTGAAAGCCTCTGTCTTGACAGAGGCTATTTTTAATGCATCGTTGTCTGTCTTAAAATACAAATTCATACTGCATCTTGACTGGTGTTTTCTTCAAAGTTGCATTCTTTCCCCCACCTTCCCAGGACCCTGAGCTGCATTTCTTTGGTATGCTTGTTTCTTGGGAATTCTTCAATTTTCAAGATAGCATACTTTGAAAAAACACAAACGTTCACAGCAGGCAACAAGCAATGCTGTAAGAATACACCTGATAAAGCGTTTTCTGTAGTTCTCCCCATTTCAATTAACGTTCCCAACATCTCTTACAATTATTAGCATTTATATTGACAGTCATGCTCCACAAAATGCTTATAAAAGGACTCTTCACAGTTTTAGTTGAACTTCTGAGAACTTAAACTCACTCACCGCTTCTGTAATTCCCGAAATCCCTGCGTTAGTCACAGCATTTGTTACAACCTCAGATGTTACTTTTTGGTTTGTAGCAGACATATGAAGAGTAATATTCTTGAGGATCTGCAACTCTAGATCCCGCAACAAAGTCTGCAGATCACTTTTGCTCACAAAATTGGACGTAAGCCATTGGAGAAGCGATTCGGGAAAGTCTTCTTGTTGATCACCAAAAAGCATTAGCTTGACAGATTCTCTGACCTGGGCATCTACCTAGTAGAAGCCATTAACAATTATAATATAAATTATTAGTCTTTATAAACCATTAAGTAATACTATATATATACACACATACACACACATATATATTAAAAACAGGCACATGTGAAATCAATACATACATTCAGTACTACACAGAAGTCTAGATTTTACGTATGTTTTAACTACATGAATTACACTGCAATAACAGACCAGTCAGGTGTGCAGAAGAACATATGGGAAATCTGGATGCTTCATCGGTTTGGTGAACAAGACATACCTAACAAAGCCCTAGCAAACTATGCAGTCCAAGTTAGTGGTCTGACTAACACTTTGGAATAAAAAAAAAAAAAAGTTGACTGCAACAGTTCAAAGAAGGCACCGTGGCAGCTCTAAGGGGAGCAGTGTACTTGTTAGGCCTAGTTAAGCAAGTCACTTAATCACTCATAGTATGCTTTGATTCCATACACAATAGCTAGGTCATATTTGAGCATTATCACAAGATGGTATTTTAGTCAAAGCTGATAATCCTTTATCAATACTTATGGTCGTATTTCGTTGGCTACATTTAGTCAGACTTTATAAAAAGGTTCAAAAGAACTTAGGCATGATTTTTTTAAAAACAGCTCTCTGATAACAAACCTAACTTGCTTTTACGTAAGTTTCTTTTTCACATTTCCATGGGTTAGCAAAGTACATCAGTAAGAACAGGAAAGTACTGTATACAGAACTGCTATTGCATTATCTTAAATGCAAAATACCCTGCCATTCTAGAGAACAAGCCATAAGTTCTTGTCTAGTAAAATGTTACGCATCAATAGAAAAATTCACAGTACCACTACATAAACCACTAACATTCTTTAAGATGAATACTAACCATGTTGCCTTTCCCCCCCCGGTGGCAACCCCGTCCTTCTGCC